GTGGAGGATGTAAATTTGTTTGGAAATTTACTGAATTAGGTGGTGCCATTGGGTTATCCCAGTTTCGAGATCTTGTATAATTACTAAAATTTTTTCGTGGTTGATAACTTGTTTTTGATGGATGTGTGTAATTATAATTATGGTCTGCAAAGTTGTTTCTAGTGAACGTTTTGCGTGTTTTTGGCGGTATTGTCATGGGTCTGTATGTTTGGTAATCCATGTGTGAATATTTTGGAGCAACCGAAGGTTTAACGGTTGATTGTAATGTTACCTGTGTTTGTGAAGAATTTGTATTTCTTGGTGTTGTTAAGTTTGGACGTATTGGTGAAATACTTTGTTGTGTAGTTGTTGTGTGTACGATTTCTTCATTTATGAAGTGTGATGGTGTCTGGATATCTTGTTGAGTAAGATTCCTAGTTCCATTGAGGTTTTCATTATGTATGACTGTAGAGTTTAAACTATTAGTTTGCATATCGGGTAAAAATGTATTATAGTTTAATGGTGTTGCATCAATGGTTAATGGTATTACTCGTACATAATCTCTTACATAAGATATCGTACTTATTGCTTGACTTGAGATTGATTGTGGGAAGTTTATGAATGCGGGATGAGACCATTCGGGGTCCCAAACATAGTCTGATTGTTCTGTGATGGCAGTATCATCGTTGGAGTTTTGGGGTCTAAAGTTTTTTCTTGCTTGTGAAATTAAATCAATATTATGTGTGAAATAATCTATTATGAACCATGCCAAGATTTTTTGTAAGTCGTGTTTTGTATGTTGTGAAACTTCAACTTTCGTGAAATTTTCTTTAATTATATTTAGAAAACTAGAGAGTAGTGTGATTTCATGTCGTACTCTTATATGTTTAGATGTTTCTGTCGGTGAGACATTTGGTATCTGTATTTCGTTTTCTAATATCGAGATATAACTATGTATTATCGCAAAAACTTCATTGATGAATATGGAGTTTGCTCTTTGTGAGTTATGATATTGGATGCTTTTTATATATTCTGAGAATATTTTTGAGAATTCTAAATCAAGGTCGTCTGTTTGAATTATATATTTACTGTGATTCTGGTTTGGTGAGCTGAATTCTATGGAGTAGATTCCGTATTGTTGTGTTAGGTTACATATATCTTATAGATAGTGATCGATAATTTGTCTTTTGATTTTTACATCTGGGAACTCTGTTTTACATGGACTGATTCCGGGTTCAAACAAATTTAAGAGTAAATTTTTGCAGAATATATGCTGTCCTCTATCAGTGGTTGCGTCTACGATAAAGGGGAAAATATCATCATCATCTGGACTTTCTTCACCTGGGGTGTGCGTTGAGCTCATTTTTTCGTTCGATGACTGTTAATATGTAATTATCAATGTGTCTAATTGGTTGATTCCAATTGTATAAATGTACTGGTTTGTGTTTATACTGCTTTTTTATTCTTCTTTTTCCTCTTTTTGATGACTTTGAAGTTGTTTCTGAGTCAGAGAAATATAATTGATCGTGAATTGGGCAATTTTTATCTATTGATTCTTTTAGTTTATAAAGTTCGTCTAAACTGTTGGTTTCTGATTCTGAAAATGAGTTTCGATTTTTTGAAAATCTTTTTCGTGTTATTTGTCTTTGTTTAGTTAGTATTTTTCTCTTTAATGTTTGTCATTTTGTTCTAATGTATCCAACTGTTTGTGTATGAGGTGTGATTACAAGGTCGTATTTTTTGTTATTTATTTCACAATTGTGTAAAACGATTGTTTGTTTATTTCCTAGGTTTTTAAATGACATAAGGTTTAGGATGACGGATGCAAAAGGTTGTTAAATGATTTCTATTTGCTTAAACTGTTAGTCCTTACGATTTTTTGTTAGCCTAACCTGGGTCTATTTGTTCAGGGTTGGGGAGAAAAGTATATCGATTCCGAAGAATGATTTTATACTTTCTCGTGGTTAGTATAAGCTAAGGTGTTAACTTACTTAATCTTACTTAAGGGTAGTGATTGTGTTCAGGGTTGGAGAATAGTAAATCGATCCACAGGGTTCAGGTATAATTAGAACGCGAGTAGTTCGTTAGATACTATTTTAAACTTACTAAGTCTAAGATTTATCCTGGGTCTGGTAAGAGGGGGGATCAAGTGAAGGATGAATAACCGAAGTTCTTCACTGTTTATCCTAATTTGAATGATTAGTTTTGTTCAAAAATTTCTATTAGTCCTGGGTTTTTAGAAAGGGTTGGATAGTGAATCGACGTTTGAGGTCGTTAGACACTCGTTTAAGTGGGTGGGGGAGAACAAAGTTGTTCTTTTTGATCCAAGGATAGGCCTTGATGATCAAGTTTTAAATTTAATTAAATAGAAAATGATTTAAGATCCAAGGATAAGCCTTGATGATCTGATTTTAAAATTAAGTGAATTTAAGTTTAAAATGGTTTAAATTTGTGTAAAGAATAGATTTAGTATTTTTATGATATTAGTGAGCTTATGATTGCTGTTATGTTTAGGCGATGAAGCTGGAACAACAGGATGATTTATAATTACTAATCATTTATTGTCATGCTACTAATTTTTATTTTGATTTTTCAATAAATATTTTTCAAACATGTTTTGTATATTACTGCAGAATTTTGGAAAACGATCTGAGATCTTTTTATCAATCGTTATTGTATATTAATAATTTTGTTTAGCGCCTGAAATGATTTTGAAGATTGACTTCAAAATTTTATGTTTGCAAATGAAAATCTAAATTCATTGCTAATAGTATTCTAAATACAAAAGTTTGTTCTGGCTTTTGCCGAACTATCATATAACTATATGGTAAGTTTCTGCTTTGTCGTATGTCGTCTCTGGTTCGAGGTCTTCTTCCAATTCCGGGTAGTTCTGTTATCGTTCGGAATATTGGCTCTGATCTATTGAGTCGTAGAGACATTTCGATTAAATTATTGTCGTATAACATTTTGTAAATGTTTTGTCTAATTTCTAATCTATTATTGGTTAATGCTAAGCTATTAAGGTCTTGTTCGAGACTTATGGTCGCACCAGATGAGTTATGACCGAAGTGTATAACTCATAGAGTAATTTCGGATAGGGTACACCGTCTGCTCGTCACGCTATCTTATTTTCCGCCGGATAGATTCGTGCAACTTCTTAGTCTAATACCGATCCTAATCTTACTCTTATACTATCTAGTCTCAGGTTGTTTAACTAGTCTCTGCTAGGCTCAATAGATCTAGGGTATACTGGTTTATTGCGGTTGCTGAAGTACTCGGGAGAGTTCAACTAATTTCTAAGTTAAATTCAAATCTCTCTGGTGCTGAAATTACAAGTAATTTCAGCACTTACAAATAAGTGGATTGTTAGTTAGATGGATCATGATTGGTTAATATTAAATACTTTACATTGGTAAAATATCTAATTTATCCAATCATAAAATGTAGTTTAGATCAGGTTCCAACAGACAGCAGAGATTTTTTATTCTGACTTTTTGAAGAAAGTGAGGAATATAACGCTAGGGGTGTTTTTTTTCATTCAGACCAATTTTCGAAATAATATTTGACCACTAGGGGAATCTATTGCTTGCTCTTCTTGAGCTTCGAGGGTTGCGCCCACCACTATACTAACGTCATGCTTCGGTCGCTCTGAAACAAGTCTAACTAAACTGCTCGTTTAATACTTTGAGGCTGAAATGCTGTAACGCGAATTATTTATGCTTGCCGAATTATATCGAACTACAAAATCGTAAGAATAGGTTGCGGCAATATTACCTGCAGAAGCAAACTAGAGGACAAAATTCATTGCAAGCTTACGTTTTTTCTCTGAAAATTCCAAATATCAAGGACCTTTTTGGACAATGTCTAGAATTTCAACAAAATTTCTACATCGATCGCCAGCAAACTGAATTGAGGCAAGCTAGTTGGTCTTTTTGTCCATTTCCACTCACCAAAAACTTTTCTTTTTCGCAACTTCACAACTTTTCCTTTTCGCATTAAAAACAACTTTAAAATATGAGAAAAAAAAATGCCCCAGCACATATTGTTGCTCGACCTGGTCATATTCCATAAGAAATTTGGCTGAGAACGATCTAGATATTTGGCGAATCTATTCTGCTAGCAGCTGCTGCTTAAACTGAAAGACTGCTCGTATGAAGTCGTGGCTATGAGGTCGTAGCATTTTTTTTTTCATTTTTATGCTAGTTTCAATTAAAATTTTAAAATTACTCCCCCCGACCCGATATGTTAAATTAAAGAATTCGTAACAAAAGGCAATTTTTTGCATTTTTATGCTAGTTTCATTTAACACTACCTCCCCTCCCCCCTCCCCGTGCTAGGTTAAATTAAAAATGGTTTATTTAGCATCTAGTACTAAAAAGAGCAAATTGCTTGCCTCTATCCAAATTGGAATATTTAATATGCCGCTTATTTAATAGGCCCAAATATATCGCGCTTTAATTATCCCAAACTGACCAAAATATCATTTTTTTTCTGCCCCATAACTTTGCCGAAAAATAGCAGCAGGTGAAATGCCGTTTTGATTTTGAGCGCATGACATTTTTGACATCAATCGACTTCAGAAGATATTTTTAAAGTCATCGTCAAAAATGGCTAGATCATAAGTCGAAATGTAACGGGAGAAACAACCACTCCGAACACAATTATTCAGCCATTTTCTTCGGAACAATAATCTAGGAATCAGCTTAAAAAACTTTCTTACTTAATGCCAAATTGTTGGCAATATCCTTTTCGGTCACCGAAGTTTAACGAAGATAATTAACCTGAAATTGCTCGTTTTGACATCAACACCAAATTTCACTCATTTGGGTTATACAAAAAACTTGTTTCTGTGCACACAAAAATCGATTTCAACTAAAAGCATCTTTATTCGACTGATTAAGTTGCTGAAAGATCGATTAACTCTCCAATATTGCTCTCAATTTGGTATTAACAATGAAACTGGAAACTCCGCAGTTCCTGAACCTTGACCAAAATCTTGTTAACGATCAATATAATAATACCTTTTACGTGGCCCAGAATAGTTCCAGGGATAACATGCTCTCCCTTCCTAGCTACTGCGTTCACACTCTTAACAGACGAGCCTTTAGCACTACTGCTCGCATTTGTCTTCGAAGTGTCTTTTTCATCCTCTGAACCAGAAGCCCCGCTGTCGTCGGAGTCTTCGATCAACTTGCTGCGGTACCTCAAAACGAACAACTTTTCAATTAAAAATATTATCTTAAGCTAATCCTCACTTCTGGAAAACTAACACGCCCTATTCTTGTGGCAAATATTTCCTAAGGTTCTCTCCTTTCGTACTATTTAACAATAGCCGTCTGACTTAAATTTTTCTACAGACGCCTTTGGTTACAATGTCAGCTTTTTCGGTCAGAAGCACTCCGGAAAAACATTTTTTTTTCGGGAAAAAAGAAAACTACAAAAAGAGCTCAAAAACTAGAGTTTTGCCAAAATTGTTCTGCTGTGCAGATTTCTCTACTAAATATGGTCAATCTAGGATTACGTCAGAGCTCATACTGTCTAAAATACAAAAAGGTCGAAAAAGGGGTTCTTCTGCTACTTTCAATTTATGGATAATTCAACACATTGAACTGATTTACTTAGCAAATTCTCCCAAATGCTGATTGAAATTCCGTATTTTATTCGACAGCACCGTCTGATCAACAGGCGTCAGAACTCTCGCCATAATTAATTGTCGATTTCTTAAATTAAGTCCTCTTTGAATAATTCATTTTCCATTTTTGAGGGTGCCAGTTTACTTTTCGGAGAGACGAACATTCGGCTAACAGCATATACACTTCTGAAATACCACGCGACCTCACATCATTAATTAGGGGAATAATAGACAAAGCAACAAGATTAATGATAGTAAATTTACTCGAACTAGTACGCGCCACTAAAGTCATCTGACAGTTCAACTGGCGTGTTTTACCTAATTACCATGCGAGAAAGCCAGTACAAATAAGCTGTTTTTGATTATTCGGCTTATCACACATCAAGAATCCCAAATGAGTACATCTCCCGCCAAAATCATTTAAAGTAAACGACTTCGGTTCAGCGAGCACTTCATTTAGATTTCAACTTCAACTTCGCTAAATCTTTCAAAAATAAAATAGAGCTAACAAAAACACCCCCGACAAAACTTTCATACGTAGCCAAAATGAAAACAGTCTTCATGGATGATTTATCTGAAATTTTGCACGGCGAAGGGGCCACTACATTTCGAAACTTTTCAAACGAGGAAACCGAAATCGCAGCTCGAGTCAAGCGCACATACTTCGAAATGCATACTTTTCAAACGGTGGATTTTGTTCGAGGACAACATAAAAAGTGGTTGCAATTTAATCACGCCGAGCTGACGATCATGGAAGCATTAGACATTCTGAATAACATAATTGATGAAAGCGACCCCGATACTGATGTGCCAAACATAGTTCATGCTTTTCAAACTGCCGAGCGTATCAGAGCTGATCATCCAGATAAACCCTGGTTCCAGCTGACTGGATTGATTCATGACATTGGAAAAATTCTTGCGTTCTATGACGAACCACATTGGTCTGTTTGTGGCGACACCTTCCCAGTGGGTTGTTTGCCCGATAGAAGTATTGCATTCGGAATCGAGAGCTTCGAACACAATCGAGACATGGGAAACCCAAATTATGCTTCAGAGTTCGGACAGTACGAAGCCAACTGTGGTTTAGGAAATCTAATGATGTCATGGGGCCACGATGAATACTTCTACCAAGTTCTTCGTCACAATGGATGCACTTTGCCACAACAGGCTATGGATATAATACGGTTCCATTCTTTCTACCCATGGCACGACTCGGGAGCTTACAGGCATTTAACAACAGCCGACGATGAAGAGATTCTGCAATGGACAAAAGAATTCAATAAATACGATCTTTACAGCAAATCTGACAATCTTCCCGATATCCATGCCCTGAAAACATATTACCAAAACTTGATCGATCAATACTGCCCCGGAAAACTTAGATTTTAAGCCAACACATAAATTTTCTAAAGCAATTTGGTATCGTAAACTTAGAGCAAGAACTCCATAGTTAGTAAATACTGAGTTATTACAAACTATTATAATTAAATTTTCAAAACAAATATCTCAACTAAAGATTGGCGGAAATTATGTCAAAACTACAGCAAAGTACATTTTTTCTCGCGGCTGTAGATAGCTCAGAGCAAACTGGTAGGTTGATTAATGCTGGTATGTGCCCTATCCAGCTTGTGCACGACCGTACTTAAACGGAAGGGCCCCTTTTAAAATTAATTTTTCCCCGAAGAATTTTTTTCGTGAAGAATTTTTTCCCGAACAACTCGGACATAAAAAAAGCTATGGTCCATACATTTCCTTTTTTCATTTCAATTTAGCGAAAACATTCTCTCTCTACTTCGCGACAATAACCTCTTTAATTTTTTTCACATATGTGGTAATCAAAAAAAGTAAAAGCAACACATATTTCTTTAATCTTAAAAAACGTTTTACAGAAGTTATAAACTTAGCTAAGTGACAAATAAACGAAAAACTTCAATTAGACTGAGAAAATACATCTTGTTTCAAAGCTCGAAATGTTTCAAATAAATTTTAAATCAGTCAAGGGAAATTGGTTTATTTTTCATCAGAAGATACATGCATCTGCGCATGTAAACAGGCGCGTAGTGCGGGGACCGATCCTGGTTACGTAGCAGTATTTAGCCAACCGCGTATTCAGACACTGTATTAACCAATCAGAATATAGAAAAGGAAGATAAGAAATTCATTTTTTCCTTGTCTCGATTCTGATTGGTTAAAAAATTGTCTGAACACGCGGTTGTCTAAACACAGACCGCACTACCCAATCGTTAAGCAGATAAATCTATTAACATAGAAAGTGCTTATTGAGTCTTTTAGCAGACTTTGATTGACAGGCAGTAAGCTGAGGCTGGGGCGCCAGTGAGTCTGGGTTGAGCATCATTACTTCACATTTTGTAAACAAAATTTGCCGTCATTTTTTGGCGTGTTGAATTGCAGCGCAGAGGAGCAAGCGGTCGATAATAGCAAATGCCGCGACTCTAGAATCGAGTAAATAATAAAATCAAAGCAACTCTAGATGCTTCAGGAAAAAATCAGTTTAAATTCAAGTAGTTTTGTAGTCTGGACCATTGGGTCGCTTGACTCGTTGACCTGCCCCTCATCATTTTTTTTCAATCTTAGAAAACGTTTTACAGAAGTTATAAACTTAGCTAGTTGACAAATTGAAAGTATATAAATTAAATTGATTTAAAATGAGAAAAAACATCTTCAAATATTGAATTGTTTCAAACAAATTTTACATCAGTCAAAGGATATTGGTGTAACTTTCGCCCAAATACTACACAGCGACGGAGCGTAGAAAAAGTACCTATTAACGACTGGCAGGCGTCAGTTACCTTAATCCTACTCGTTTTTCACCGTCTCGACCTTGCCAGTTGATTTTCTGGTCTGTTTAGGGCTAAGTAAAAAGTTACTATTTTTAGGCCATCAGTCAAACGACTTTTGATCAGCTTTCGTTTACATGCGAACACAACCACATAGCTGAGTCTCGGATCCTCAGACTACGTGATTGCCATTGAAAACACGGCTCGAACAACCTATTTTAATATGTTTTTGTGTGACAGTTCATATTAAATCCATTGGAGATGGATTGACCCTTTCCTCTTTCTAGCTACTCATATTCTAAAATATCAAAAATTACCGGTGTTAATTCAGAGTTCTACGACATCCAAGTAGCTACAAAGTCAGTTTTATATAGTCCCTTCACATACAACAGTCTCTGGGGGACCAAGCCTCCGCTCCCGTAATCTTCCCGAGATAACACTTTTATCTCTCCCAATTTGTGGCACGGGAGGGTTCCGTGGAATATTCCTTCCCCACTGAAGCTTCCTTCTCCACTAATATCCACTGCTAAGAGTCTTATCGTGTGTTGTTGCCACGATAAGAGGCTTCGTATTTCTCGTCTCTTGTGCGACCGTTTTCCACAATAATTATCGTTGTTCTGTTTTTTCGTCCTTTTCCGTCAAAACGGCCGTCTTTTTCTATTTCTCAGAATTATTCACTCTTCGATCGAACTTTTAAAAATAAAAATTCTAGAATATTCCTACCCTCCTTCGCAATAATTTTTCGTAACTAAGGCCTTTATTCATTTTCTTTCGTGTCGCCGGAAGGTTGCGCTGTGCCTTTCTGGCAGAATGGCACATACTCCCCGGACAAGTCCCCATCAATGTCCCTGTTGATCGCATAACACCGGGTTATCGTCAAGTAGTGTTCCAGTTCTCTGTAATCAATCTTACAAATCGCATAAGAATATGAATTTTATCTACTCCACCTCAACTCACTACGTGTTCACAAATGGCATCGTACTACATCTCACTGCCTTTCAACATTTTCACACAATTTGCACCATGAGGAGTGTCCTAGATAAAATTTCTTTTCTGACTATTTACGTCACTTGCCATTAAACTTCTTTTCGCTCTTTGTGATTAAAAGGTTGGGACGTGGCAGGGCCACGCACCCGTTAAAATTAACTTAACGTCACTCACCAAGTATAATCAGTTATTTATGCAGTCCTTTCAATATTAAAACTAAGAAACTCTGTGGCTAGGAAAGTTATTGAGTTACTCACCATTCTCGAGCGAGTTTACTCAAACTTACCATGTCGCCACACAGTGAAAATGTGTCTTACACAGGTTAAAAACTTCAGTCGTGTTTAAATAGGTAAATATACTCACCTATGTTCTATATATATACATAAGTAGTATAACTAAAATTTTCTTTCAAAAATTTAAACAATTGCAACAATTTTCAAAGTTTGGTTTGACCAAACTGAATCAAAACAAAAAGTTTAGCAAGTTCAATAATCAAACTTGGTTGATTGGTTTAAGTTTTAAAACACAAAGACAATCAAGTTTTTTCTCCCTCTCTTCTTTTCTTGCTCACGTCTTCACTTGTCCTCTTCGTTCCATCATCTTCATTCCATTGCTTCTCCATCCTGATCTTCAACTTCGCTGTCTTCTAGGACTTTCTCCAGCATGTCCATGGAGTTGCGGGCCGTGCCCCAACTCTCCTGTTCCAACAGCCTCGGTTTGCATCAAGGTAGCAGGTCCACATTCACCTTTTGCTCCCGGTTCCTGCAAAAGCTGTTGTGAAGACATAGGCTCACATTTCGTTCTAGGTCAGCTCTTAAGACCTGTTTCTTCTCATCTTCAGTTACACAAGGCACTCCAGCTACTCGCTTCACCGCCGTGGTGACCGCGTTTCTGTGCGTTAGGAATGCTCTCTTATAATCTCCCGGTCCTATATCTAGCTGGAAAGATTGATAGGCTTCCGTGTTCCTCGACATATGACGCTTCGCGCGTTCATACATTCATGACGTCATCACTGCACGGAATCAAGGCATCAACCTTTGCCTTGAACATATTCTTTCAATGGCTTTGGGTATTCTCAGAACCTTGCAGGTGGTTCTGAAAAGATCCAATTCACGACTCATCTTTACGTTGCTCAGCTGCTCAGGAGTCGGCACGGCCGTCTCCTGTTCACTTGTGTCCGCGTTAGCCTCCAACCATCTCACTGCCAGCATGGCACTAACCACCACGATTGACACCTGTTGATTCTGATCGGGCAACCCCGTAGAGTACAACTCCTCCACGTCCCATACTAGCATCAGATTCCCGCGTTTGGGGTACCATAACGTCTGCGCCAAGCAGTGGCAAGGATACTCCCCATGGGTTCTCACTATGTTTCTTTGGGTCCGATACCCTGAGGCTCCCAGCAACGGTTCCACCTCCATCAGAATTCTGTGTAAATCGTCTTTCTCTTCTATGGTGGGGAATTCAGTGGGTAACGCTCCACTCGCTTTCTGCTTCTGGAACTCACTCACATTACCTTCGTTCAATCTCAGGAACTCTTCACCCACTACGTCTTGCAACTCGCCTTCAGATCTCTTCGGGACTGCCCGAAAGATCTTCGCCAACAAATCATATGACCTCTCCGACATTCTGGCCAACCTCACGCACTTTGGCACCGAGAAAACTTGGTCAATCAACACCTGCTGCGTCCTCGCATCCATCACCACCATGTGTGTAGGATACCTACTATTGCAATATGGTGCGGAGCTTGAACCCACCAGATATTTTGAACCAGTAGGTTTATGATAGGCTTCACTATCCTTCAGATTCATTTCGTTCTCCAGAGCTTCTCGCCAGCCTCCGATCTTCTGCTCTGTCTGCAATGCTCCAGGGAATACTTCCACGCTGAGGGACGTCAGTTGCTCATGGGCGCGCTCCAGGCGCTCAAGCGATTCTATCGAACTCGTCATGCTACAAAATCCCAAGGCTGTGGTCAAGTTTACATCCGTCACCCCATGACAGTCCGCGACCAACTCCATGCCACTCTAATCCGACATGCTCAATCTTCCGTACAATCGTGCCAGTTGTCGATGCTGCTCGCTCAGCGTAATCAGGTAGTGCCCCAAGTTGCAAACATGTCCTTCCATCCCACTATGTTCAGCCAAGCATGTGCCTTGCTTCAACCAATTGCTCGATGGACTTTCCTCGGATAGCTCCGTGGACGGGTTGCTCTTCCGCTTCGTCATCCTCATGGCCAGCAGATGGTGTATCAAGGCCAGATCATGTAGACTCGCGTCATCATCCAGGTCTAACGTGATATCCGCCTTCATGTCCCAGATTAAACCGGCGTTAGGATGGGGACACCAAAAAGGCTTCATGAGTTCCCACATCGTTACTAGACTGGTTTTCAAGGGACCGTCCCAAGAACCACAATCAAAACTCACTTGCCCCTTTAGCTCGGGAACCGAGGGCTCGACCACTCGTTCTTCTAATATAATTCCCAGCTTGGGTTGTTCCACCATCAGCATTCGAGTTTCTTTAATCCGTTCAACCCAGAAATTGAGTACTATGACTTGCTCATAGTCGAAGTACGCTTCGCTGGCTTCTTCATTCACGAAGGGATTATACGCCATCCCCGGTATGCCAGACACATATTGGAACGACATCAGTTTCCCTAGTGTTGCAAAGTCTTCTGTCCCCTGACTG